ACCAGTAGGTAGTCCACCAAGCCGCTCGGAAGAGTTTTTCACCCACAAGAGAACCATCGAGTATTTTAGCTTCCGGCTGGTTCTGTCCTAGGGCCCTCACAACCCCGCTAGAGAGAAGAGAGCTGTAGCGGTAAATAACTCCTCAAAATTATTGATCATAACTGAAAATTGGATGCCGGCCCTCACTGTTTAAATTGACTTGTTTAGCTGAAGGCTCCCGGTCAAGCTGTAGTACCCCTATACTAACTGTAAACATGCTTTTTAATCTAATTGGTATACTTGTATTATATGTGTATACAGACCGATTTTATATGTACTTCGCAAATATTTGTCAATTTACTGTTGAACATTACCTTGACACAATTTCGAATTTGACTACTGCTACAATACACATTCGTAATCTTCGCAAGTGCCTTTTGATTTACGTTGTGGGCGTCGAGTAGCCACAACGTCTGCGCACATGAATAAGAACGAAGAAATACTAGAATATATGTGTACGGCAGTTTAGTCAGACAACGCACGCAACAAAATTGGTGAGCCCGACGTGATATCGGTAAGCCTCACGGAACAAATTGGTGAGCCCGACGACAAACTTCTACCCCGACAACAAATTGTCCATCGCGACGACAACTTCTTCACCTCGACGATAACTTGTTCACTGTGACGATAACTTGTTGACTCCAACGACATTTTGTTCACCCGGACGCATCATTACACTTGCTGGATTATTTATACCCTAACTTTATCGGATATATATACATATAATAGACATTTCGAGCTCATTCTTGTTCTTTCTCATCGCACAACTTGCAGTAATCTGTGGTAAGCATCTGCATTGCATGTTTTCTGTTTTACCATATTCTTGGTGTGCATAATTTTTGCAATTTTGTTACTGTTAAACCATTTTTCTACGAATTGTAACATGTCTTCCAATACCTCTAATAACTTAGAGCTGGGATCTGTCAGTACTATTTCTCTTACTGTACCAGTTTTTAAGCCCAGAGACCCTCATCTTTGGTTTGCACGACTGGAACATAATTTCAATGCCAATAAGCTGACATCACAGACGGCTAAATTCAGCATTCTGAGTACAGTACTACCAGACGAAATCGCCGAACAGGTTCGGCAACACATAGTTCAGCCCAGCATAGACGCTCCTTACGACAAGCTGAAGGAAGAAGTACTTCGATGCACTTCGCTTTCGGATAGGCAAGCACTCGATCGTTTGTTAAGCAATGTAGAGCTAGGCGATAAAACCCCATCACAACTCATGAGGCACATGCAAAGCCTAGTAGCAGGAACAGATATCGATAAACGTCTCTTTTACCAAATTTGGTTGCGACGACTTCCTGCAAACATTCAACAAGTTCTTGCTTTCGGAGACGACGACATTGACATAGAAAAGCTCGCCAAAATCGCGGATCGCATGTACGAGAGGTCAACACCTCAATCTGTTGCTTCCACTAGCAGAATACCAGACACTCACGACAGGATACAGGCTCTAGAACACAAAGTCGACACCTTACTGAGTCAGTTAGCAGCACTGACCACACGCACACGACCAAGCCGTTCTAGAAGCTCGTCTCGTCGACGTCTTTCTCGGTCACCCAGCACGTCACGACATCACGATACTATTTGCTGGTACCACCGTAGTTACGGAGACAATGCACGACGGTGTCGTTCACCTTGCAACTTTCAGGCTAAACCAAAAGATATATCGTCATGTATGAAAACTTCTACTGTTGGCAATCTACGATCTAGCAGTCGTTTGTTTTATGTAACAGATAGAAATACCGGTACTACGTTCTTAGTCGACACAGGAGCAGAGGTTAGTGTTCTCCCTCCGTCTACGCAGGAACGTCAACATCCTGACCCTGCAGTTACGCTCCAAGCCGTTAATAAGTCTAATATTGTTACATATGGTAGTAAACGAATGACTTTAGATTTTGGTCTGCAGAATACCTACACTTGGTCTTTCATCATCGCAGACGTTCCATCCCCAATCCTTGGTATAGATTTTCTACAGCAACACAAACTGCTAGTTGATCCGGTAAGCCCTAAGCTTATAGACTCGCTCAATAAAAAGTACATCGCTGGTACGATTAGCCGTGCATCATCGTTGAACTTGATGGTCACACGCACACCAGCACCTCCATATACCGACTCGGCAGATCAGTTTCCTGACATTCTACAACCATCTTTCCGATCAACAGACCATAAAGCTCCAATGAAAGCTTTATCAGCAAAGCAGGTTAATTACTCTCCGCGCGAAATACGACATCTCGAGTATATATCCCAAGTCAACTCCGATCTGCGACAAGTCAAGGGTAAAAACAATGAAGTGGCAGACGCTTTGCCACGTATGCACATTGATAACATTGTATGCCCAGACATCGACTACGAACATCTCTCAAACTTACAACGAGATGACGCCGAACTCAAAAAGATCATGTCTTCTAAAACAACATCTCTAAACCTCGAGGCAATTCCTTTGGCACGACAAAAGTTATCTGCGACACCTCTACGGGTAAATATCGACCTTTCGTTCCAATAGCTATGAGACATACAGTATTCGAGAAGTTACATAACTTGTCGCATCCTGGTGTTAGCGCTACTACCAAGCTACTAAGAGAAAGATTTATCTGGCCAAACATTAACAGCGACGTTAAGAAGTGGACACGAAATTGCTTGTCTTGTCAAAGAGTCAAAATCAACCGGCACACCAAAGCACCACTTGGTCGCTTCCCTAACCCCGACTCTAGATTTGACCATGTACATGTAGACATAGTTGGTCCACTGCCTCCTTCCAATGGTTTCAACTATATTCTAACCTGCATTGACAGATTTACTCGTTGGCCAGTAGCAGTTCCATTAATCGACGTCTCAGCTGAAACGGTAGCTAAAGCTTTAGTCGAAAACTGGATAGCCAACTTTGGTGTCCCATCAATTATCACTACAGACAGAGGTGCCCAGTTTGAAAGCCGACTTTTTGACCAACTAACTGAATTACTAGGCATTAAACGAATACGAACGACAGCGTATCATCCTAGTTCCAACGGTATGGTCGAACGATTTCATCGACAACTCAAAGCTGCGCTCGCTGCTTCTTTGACTCAAAACGATTGGTCAACCAAACTTCCACTAGTATTACTTGGTATACGAGCTACTATAAAGAAAGATATTGGCTGCTGTGTTTCCGAACTAGTCTATGGAACAACATTACGATTACCAGGAGAATTTTTCACCCCGGGTAACGAAGTTCCACACGATATGACTGGTTACGTGCACCAGCTAAAACGACACATGAACGAGCTAAAGATATCACTTCCACGTCAGCAGGAACGAGCGTCATACATCCCGTCACAACTGACAGATTGCACTCACGTCTTCGTCAGGAGAGAAGGTGTACAACGACCACTTCAACCCGCTTATGATGGCCCATTCAAAGTTCTAAACAGAAACGCGAAAGTTATCACGATAGAAAGATTGAATAAAACAGAAGCCATCAGTATCGACAGAGTCAAACCAGCGTTCCTCGACGATTTCGAAGTCAACGATAAGAACCAGCTGAACGACGTGCCAACACCTACATCCACACAAGCTTCAACGTCGACAGAGAAGCCTGCGAAAACAACACGATCTGGTAGACGAGTCCATTGGCCTAAACGTTACGTGCAAGTCATCGAAATATAACTTACTACGAATTTTCATTTTTATTATCTTTATTCGTAATTGTCATTTGATTACTCATTTAACTGATTAATATTTTCATACATAAATCACGTCACTATTATTTTAACATCGATATTTCCTATATTATTACATTTAATCACATCTCGTATATTATTCACGTATCGTTTTCGTCTACCGACTACAGATCCCCGGACAATTTTATCGTTCCTTATATATTCTATTACGATTAGGAATTCCACTTTCCCTAGATTATCGCATTTATTATCGACGTTATTAACCGCATTAAACTGCTCATTTTTCAGCTTAATAAATCGCCTTCTGTGTACTATCGCTGCTACGTATTACGCTGACGCATGTTATTTTCGAACACTTAAATGTATTTTTTTATATTTTAGTGTTCTGGTGGGGGAATTATGTAGTACCCCTATACCAACTGTAAACATGCTTTTTAATCTAATTTGTATACTTGTATTATATGTGTATACAGACCGATTTTATATGTACTTCGCAAATATTTGTCAATTTACTGTTGAACATTACCTTGACACAATTTCGAATTTGACTACTGCTACAATACACATTCGTAATCTTCGCAAGTGCCTTTTGATTTACGTTGTGGGCGTCGAGTAGCCACAACGTCTGCGCACATGAATAAGAACGAAGAAATACTAGAATATATGTGTACGGCAGTTTAGTCAGACAACGCACGCAACAAAGCATCCATGCCATTTGGTACTCGGTCGTGTCTCGCTCGTGCACGATCACCAGCCAGTTTAGCAATCAACTCGCAATCCGCCTTAATTTGTAAATATATATCGTAATTTAGACAACCAGGTCACTTCTTTTACTTTGCCTTTGGTCCACGAGAAACGAATACTATAGAAGTTGTTGGTACAATATCTCGCGTTAGTATACTCCGTACAATGCACGAACGTCAATACCGTCGGTCTCTAAACTGGTATAGACTGATAAAGTAGTATTGATGCTACAATGTGGGTGTTGCTTTTGGGCGTCATGAAAATACATGATACAAGAACTTAGGATAACTAAAACTGGTGATGCAAGTTTAAGTCCCGGGCGGAATCATAACAAGTCTTTGAATGAACTTGATGTTGGTAGACTAAAATGGCTGCACTTGCTTTTTAGTTTAGTTGTTGGCCTTCTTGCTCACTGTCACATTAAATGAAACTTTGATTGTTATTAGTAACACTTGAATCATTTGTTTTAAATTATGCCATGTAGTACTTCGGCACTATTAGGTTGCGCGGTATTTTTGTAACCGTTTGCATATATCACGCGGAGACGAGGAATAAACCACGTTTCTGGAATCGTTCATCATAGTAAGATTTACTTTTATGTATAAACAAGTTTGAAAGAATTCTCTTCACATTACACAGCGACATTCACTTTCATTCTCGAAGATTCCCTAAGACACATCAACCTCAGAAGCTATATATATATATATACTGTATGTTTGAGCATACAGTGTCATATCTATTCGCTGATATTTATTCACGTTTGTTTTCACACTTGAGCTGCTCTTCACCAGCTTTATGGCATATATTGGCTGTTATTCATATCGATGAATATCTGCCTACATTGGTGAATGAAGGTTCAGTCAGGCCCAAATAGGGGAAAGTGGGGATAATTTAGGGTTTTCTGGTATTTCAAGGAAGTCTTCGGGTAGATTTACGAGTTTGGGGGCCGTCTGAGGGGAAATTCATGGATGAGTCTAGGAAAGTTGTGGGGGTGCTTTCAGGCAAATATGTTGTATTTACCCTAAATTTCTTCATTAACTTGCCCACATACTCTCCGTAATAAGACCGGAAATCTCTGCCAATTTTTTACGAGGAATGTTCACAAAATATGAATATCTAAGTGGACATCAAATTAGTAAAAAAAATGCATTTCCCAGTGACAGTTTTGAGATGTACTTTCTACGAAAGTCCATATACACTGTGTCAATAAACCGATAATTCTAGGCTCAGTTCCTGATTATATCATCGTTTATATAAAGGATACTAGGCTATTCTGACCTGTGTCACTCCTTCTGGTATTTATCGCTGTAAAAACCTTATTTTTCATTGAAAATACTGCGATGATGCTGATACCACTTGATAGCGTTAAGGAGTTTCAGTCGTCGACTACTCTGTTTAAATTCCGCGCGTGTTTTTTTCGACTGCCACCTTTGCACCTTTTTATTATGACCTCGTAAAGGTATCTAGGAGGAGAGGAAAGGTTAGGAATATCAACACGCAAGTGGCTTCTTGGTGTGTGTCAAAATTAAGTCACCTCTCCTCCTTCGGTATGATGAGGAGAAGAGGCTCGAACAATTCATCGACTTCCCTTCCCTTCATATTCTTTCCTAGACTCGTGTCTACTTCTTGAGACACAGACTAACCGCTTGTTTTGCGATGTCCTAGATTAAGCCTGACATGTTGCGTAGAGTACTTTAAACAGACCATTTGAAAACCCTTCAAAGTGCCCATAGCAATCGATAAGTCCTAGCTGTCTCTGTATTACAATATACAGTTGTTTTCAAATGATGAATGACAATAATTCCTAAATCGCACTCTCCTTAACATCAGACAGTTCTTCATCTCCTTAGTGAGTATGACTTACAAGAACTGTGACCTAGATGCATTGTCACTCTTTTTCTGGAATTCATTTTAGAACTCCAGAGGTTGGACAATCCAATCAGCTTATCTAGGTCACCTCGTAAGAATTAATAATAATAATAACAGCTTTATTGCAAACAGTATTTGTGATACAGGTATGGAATTTTAACCAACATCACTATTACTTATGGTTTTCCAAATCTTAATATTGTCTACCAATAATGATAGACATGAGGTGGAAACTTTTGAAAGTTCGTTTGTGTAAAATGGGAATGATAAGGTGCCCAAAAGAGAACCCTGTAACACTCTGCTCAACAGTGGTTTGCACCTTAGCAGCACACCATTAACCACTACCTTTGCCTTGTACCGAGTAGGTAGTCCCTGATCCAATTACACTAGCATTGGTCTAATCCTAACCCTTTTCGAGGAGGCCTGAATGGTAAACTTTATAAATTAAAACAAGTCTCTATAATAAAACAGAAGGAATTAGCAGCACATACTGATTTCACTTCTTTCTCTGTAGTCATTTTTAGCTAGCTTTTATTTGCCTTGCACACTGTGTCCTCTATGTCAACTTTAGACGCCCAACACCTCGTTTTTCATTTGGGTTCTGTGTGACGACCTATCACGTGATATAGTTCAACAGCCATCTTACGGTATATCCATTTCCGTCAGTATATTTGTTTAGCAATGAGCTCATGGCTTATTCACTGCCAGAGTCCCCTTTTGTGGAATGCAACAGATGTCCACAATTATTTCGGAGTAATGAGCTGTCTTTCTCTCCCCAACCAGATTCAGTCTTCCGAACTCAATGAGCAGAAATCTTAAAATATATGACATGTGCTTCTCCCCTGAGAAATGCAAAATAGTGCTACAGGACTGGTTCGAACCGGCTCCTTGTCTTAAAACAGGGGGTGAAGTAGCAGAGCTGACGAAGTCTCGACATCGATACAAAATGCTCATGTGGCATTTGCTTACCTATATCATTTCTGGCGTAGACGTCATATCCGATAATCGATGAAGGTACGCGTTTACTGTACGGTACTTTGCCCTATCGTTCTTTAAGACTGTCAAACATGGTCATTGAAAGTCAAAGATATGCAAAGGCTATCTGTCTTTAACCACAAAAGTTTCGCATCTATCTCCCATGTTGAGTGGTGTAATATGAGATTAGAGATCTATGAGGCTGTGAAGATACATCGATTGAGGCGATTAAGATACGTGTTACACACGCCCAGCCAAAGCCTTCCTCGTCGACTAGTGGCACGGTGATATGAGGATATTCGTTCGTTGTTGCTTCCGGTTATTTGTTCGTTCCAGTCTTACCCTTGAAACACAGTCCTGTCGCATACTACTCTGCCACTTTGTGGCTCATTGTTTAGTTACCTGCATGTCAATTAGTGTTCCCCGAGTTTGAATACCGTCTTGTGCTGCTAATTTTTGACAGGGAAATACCGCTTAACACACGTGTGTGATATCATATTTTCTTTAATGGGCCTTCATGCCCATGTGTTAGTCTTGCGAAAAATTGTGTTATTTTCCGTTCTCCTGAATAATACAATATTATTTTAGAATGGATTTTTCATACCTATTTTCCTCGCATGTATCAGAAAAAATTTTTCTTAAAAATTACTTTACAATATTGTTTTTCTCGTTATCTCAAATGAAGTATAAAAATGAGTCTTCTTCACTTAATATTTGCTACCTAGCTACGGATGTAACTTCATTAGTTGAAAATGCAACCAGGTGATAGCCAAGGAGATTTAATTCCCGGGTAAGATATTTAAGCAGTTTGATATTTCAGGTCATCAAACCATGCATGGGCTTTCCCGGTGATTATTACTATTGTATCCGCCCTCGGTGGCTTTCTTTTTGGTTATGATACTGGTGTCATATCCGGTGCCATGATTCAACTGAGAGAATATTTCAATCTATCGTATATGTACCAAGAAATAATTGTTTGTACTATTACACTGTATATTTATTATAAGTTGTAGGTCAGTATATCATTATTTGCTGCTGCGATAGCATGTCCAGTTAGTGCTTTTCTCAGCGATCGTATTGGTCGCAAAGCTGTTATATTAATAGCAAGTGTCGTATTTACTGTTGGAGCAGTGGTGATGGGAGCCTCGTATAGTAAGATTTGCTTACTAGTTGGTCGTTTGATAGTTGGACTAGGAATTGGTGAGCACATCGTAGATCAGATGAATCATATTTTTGTTTGTAGGAATGGCTTCAATGTCAGTCCCTGTATATATTGCAGAAATAGCGCCTAATCGTATGCGCGGAGCATTGGTCACGCTAAACACAGTGTTTATAACAGCTGGACAAGTAATCGCGGCAATTGTTGATGCTATCTTTATTTCGGATGAAGTCAATGGGTGGAGGTAGGTTATTTCAATTAGGTCATAAGTGTACATAATCTGTATATGATATACTCATGATATTTTGTCAAACATGAATTAAATTGTTGAGATACTTACGGGATGAAAGTTTGAAAATTTCATCGTGAAATATTATTTTGATTATTGGTCAACTTCTTATGTATTTTTACACAGTTTATTACAATCTCTTGGACATTAAGGCTAACTAGTGTGTCAGTATCTTACTGGCGTAGGTGTCTTCTGAATAGATGGATAAGTATTCACTTTTATCAGGTGCTCATTTCTGTTCAGCTATACAAATTTCCCACCATTGTGGTAATACTTCAACTCACCAATTGTTTGAATAACCAATTAGACTTTGAATTTCATAATGAACTTTTGGTTATTTCTATTCGCAAAGGTATATGTTAGGGATTGGAGGTGTTCCGTCATTTATTCAACTATTCGCATTTATTTATATGCCTGAGAGTCCTCGTTGGCTGGTTCAGCGCGGTCAAATTTCAAAAGCTCGTGCTACTCTCCAGCGCCTCTATGGAGCATCTGCTGCGACACCACAAATAGAAAGTGAAATTCAAAGAATGATCGAAGCTTCATCCAAGGTTCAAGTCTGTGAAACCCCTGAAAAATCTTCTGATATTGCTCCTAATGTCTGTATGGAGAGTTTTAGTGGGGGTAATTCATCTGTCGGTGAAAATGCACTATCACAAAATATACTGAACGAACCTGATGACCATATAATAAAAGGGACAGGTAACTAAGAGCATTAGTTTTAAATCTATTATGGTTTATATTTATTTTTAAAATCAACATTCATATGGAACAATTGTCCCGTTGCCGGTTCTCACATGATTGAATAAAGCAATTGTGCAACTCGAGGTTTTACCGAACAACTTTCTTGTCCTAGTTTGCTATTTTTTTTATTACTGTCCATCCACAGCGCCTGAAGTGATCGAGCTCAAAACCAAGATTTCTAGGTGAACCGCCAGCTCATTTTCTGCTGATTGTCATCAAATTGGCTGACATGAAAATTTCTTCTTAAGAATGAAAGAAGCCTATTCCATAACAGTCGTGCACGTATAGTGTAGGATGGGATATAATCAAATGAGTGGGAATCTTTTTTCAAGCGTTGGCTTTGAAGAGATTTCGTTTGATCGGTTGGAGGTCCTGGGCTTGAACTCTGGTGCGCGCGTACTGATGAAGAGTCCCAAACTCACCTGAAGAAACAACTGTCCAGTACTCCCAGATGGTTTTCTAATGGTTCTCTAACTGATGTCAGCTCATGATGAGATCTTTTTTGACGAGGGACACCAAGTGAATCCATCTACTGAATTCGCACTCTTGTTTTGTGAATCAGACTTGAAGTAAAAACTACAAGGGTAGCTATTTTAAGCAGATGTATATTTTCCTCTCAGTATTGAAATCGAACTAAAATGTTGACAGCTCTAACATAAAACTGAAAACTTGCAAATCTCTCATACGTCAAATTGTGTGTTCATCTTCTGTGTTTGTCATTATTTTTCTGATCACCTATAAATTATGCTGTTTAATAGTTTGTGTGTTATATTTAGCATCTCTTTCCTTTTATCATGAAAGTTGCTTATCATCACTAAAAGCAATGGACACTAAATAGCTGCTTTCACAAGCAGTCGTGATATCCATCAAAACCAAGAAGGGTTTCGTCTGACATTGCTAAATTTAACAATGTGGGTCAAATTCAAAGACACACAGGTTTGGTCAGAAGTCTTCAAAGTCTTGCTAAATATGTATGTTGAATCACAGAGATCTGCTTACAGAATAACATTGAGGTGCTCTAAAGGAAGTTCTTCAGCTATAGTAGTAATTCTTGATATAAGGGTAGCCTTTGGTGCGTTAGACGAGATTTTCTGTTAAAAAATAATGTCCTTGAACATCGTTATCTCCTTAAAAACTGTTGCTGTATCAAGTTAGAGATAAGAGGGCATGTAACCATCAATCCGCACTACTGCCAACCAACACTGAAACTGAACAAGAGTGTCCATTTTCTCGGTTTATCCTTATTTTAATATTATGGATATGTGGGGAGAGTAGGCTGCTAGCCAAATTGGTAGACATTAATTTACGTCAGTGTTTATGTCCCAAATATTGGTCGTGAGAAAATATGGACAAAGACCGATTCAACAACCGACTATAGCAGTCTTTGAGTAGGCGGATACAGTTAGCATATGGATGATTTGACATTCAAGAAACAGTCACAAATAGATGTAAGGTTAACTTTCAGTGAGAAACAACCAATCGGAAGTCTGTGTATGTTTGCTTGAGTAAGCTACAATAATGTACATGAAATATATCAATACGTGTTGATTTCTTTAATAAACGATCTGTTGCCTGGCCCTTGTTAGCCCTTGTTACAGATATACTATATTGTGGAAGATTTCGATGTCATCTTACTGTGCAACGATATGCAAATTATTTAAATTCACCTTTGTCAATTAACAGCGAATGTATTTAGGTTATTTTCTTTGCTTCACCAAAAAGCGAGGCACTTTTCAAGAAGTACACGCACGTTTAAATGTAAATCCCCAAAATGAATATAACAGTCTGTGCATTCACTTAGTTGGGGTTTGGATAAGGTGTGAAACATGAGCCTCTTAACTTTAAATCGAAAACTTAAACTAAGATTTTAATATCAACATTTATGATGGAGATAAATATAACAGTCATAAGTTGGCGAATGTTGCTTGTCAATAGATTACATATTATGATGATTCGTTACTAATTCATGAATAATCCTCATTCAGGCACTAATGAAAACAAAACACGTAGTTCAGCAAACAGTCTCTTTTCGGCGAATTCATTTTCTTACCTGCACAATCGCAAATATACATATGGGTTATTTTGTATGTATATGTACATTAGGTTTGCCAAGCTTAAATACAGTTAGTTATGGTTATTTTAACTAAAGGTGATCCGGTGACAATTAGTAAGTTTTGGGTGGAGTTAAGTAACACAAAAATGGTCAAGAAAATTGGGCGTTAATGAAACTGTTGTAGTAAAAAAGGTGGTGAGTTGTTACAAACACTTGTTAAAAGGGAGTTACGCAATAATATGAATAGTTTGATGGTTGAGTTGTACTCAGGATACACATAGGAACAAAGTAGAAAATACAAAAATACTTAACAGTTCTAAATGAATACAAAAATTGTAAGCAATTAAAGAAACAGTCAAACAAACAAAATTAACTCATCAGAAATCAACAAAGTTGTTACCATGATAATAGAAGTGGTTGAGTAATTCTCTTTTGTATGTACAGCTTCAGTTTTTCTATGTGAATGGTTAGAGCTTCAGCGATACAAAGAAGACGAAACCGTATTGCCTTTGGTAGGTTATTCTTGACTCTGTAGATTACTTCGAAGCATGAGGTGTTTGTTGAGATGGAATGATCAGTGTTAACCAGATGTCCAATTTTCGCACTCCTCATAACCCCACTGTTGCTTTTTCGCATCCATGCTGGCTAGTGTTGTTGAATCCTCATGGACAGGATGCGTGTCGAACAACCGATGTACCTGGTTTCACAGCAGCAGGTGAACTGATATATACACATAGAAGTGGTCTGGTGCGCGACCTTGTCCTTGATCTTTGTAGAAATCCATCTGTTCGTGTCGAAATATAGAAATCTAAGTAGGATAATTTATCTTCTGAGTCAACTTCAATTTTAAAGTTGACTGATCGGTGGACATTGTTAAGTATTTCTAGGATTTTACTTGGCTAAGCATTTTTACCGATAACGGTAAAGATATCGTCCATGTATCACTTGTAAACTTTGAAAGTGATTGATGGTCGATTGAAGACGATTTGATTTCATATATGCCATGAAGCAGTCGGCGAGTAATGGACCAAGTGAAGAACCCATTGATAATCCATATTTCTGTCGGTATATTTAACCGGTAAATAAAAACTGAACATTTAATGTGCGACGTAGTATTAGCTCTTCAAAATACTCAGTAGGTATATCGACATTCTAGTTATTTCAGTCAATAAACTCACATAAGTAGCACACAGTTTTTGTTAAGGGCACAGTGGTTAGGACTCTCGCTGATCATGCACATGGTCCGAGGTTCGATCCCCTACCGACGCAAACCTGATATCTATGGTCGGCCTGGAAAATTTGGGCTACCGATATCTATGCTGAAAATTCCATACTAGTACCAAAAATACAGTGTGGAATCAAGCTTTAATCAAAAATAAAAAAAATTAAAAAATTAGTAAAAAGAGGAACTGTGTCTATTGGAGCCATAATTGATCAAGAAAAACTCATTCTCCTATCGAATCTATGAATTCAAACATGTCTTTTAAGGACTCTTCACTACCATCTTCCTCATAGGTTCTACAGTTCCTGTTATCTATCATGGTACGGAACGGTAGGATGATATAGACATATCTAGGACTGGACGTACGAGTAACCCTTTTTTGTGGATCTGGGACGACCTATACAGGCATAGAATTGTTGGATCAGTAGGTTGAATCCTTCCATAGGTCTGTGCACTGATGACTACTGAGTCCTGTTATATTGTTACAGGCACTTTTGTTAAATAGTTTTTGCTATGCGCAGTGTTGTGTAGCTCGAACATTTGGTGTCATTATTGAGATTTTATGAGATTTTTTTGTATATAGCCTGATCTGCATAATTAAATGATTCACATATTTTTGTCTGGACACGTAACAATTATATCTTTATTACTGGACAAATTTTTAATCCCATGGTATATTGTTTGCTTTGTGGTACTTCTCTTTTGAGTTCTTGAGCTTCTGATAGCAGTTAAGTACAGCTGACCAGAAGCATTGTAGCTCTTCATTAAAAACGGGAACTAAGTCTTCTGTTTAATTAACCATAATCTCAAATTCAACTTCATGGTGAAGATATGAGTTATTGAGAGCTTAATGACAAACTTTGGTACCACGCAGTAGGACGTGAATTTGGATTTATGAGCTTCACATTTGGGGAATTGAATATAAATTCTTCTGGATTCAGTGGAAATTTGGAAGAGCAGAATTTTTTGTTTAGACTCCTGTACACATCTTTTTCTGACAGTCGTGACGTAATCTCCGAAATTTTTTCTCTTATCACTTGAAAAACCATCAAGGGATCATCGTTTTCTATTGGTATTTGTTTCATTGTGTGAACATGTCAGCGTAAAGTGTCGATTAGACTAACAGCATGAAGTTTTAAGTAGCGATAATGCCAATATATCCGTCTGCATTTTCTATGTATCCAGTATTGGCATTGCGTCATTTCGACTTAATGTGTTTGGCGGTGATTCGATGAACAAAGATTTTGTTGTAGTTAACCTCTCTCTTCATCAAACTATATTGCTTTTTAATTCTCTCACTCGATGCTCAAACTTGGGAACTGGCAAAATATTTTCGTCTCAGGCTGAGTTTTACAGGTGTAGATCAGAATTGTAGGCAGTGAGTTGTTGTAAGCCCACATTTTGATGGTAAGACTGATATTTTAATGGTCGTTGAAGTAAAGACGTACTGTCTCGTTTTTATTTGTATATTTTACCTTCAAATCTTTAAATTTTGTTGTGTTTGATATCTTTGAACTTTTTTACCTGTTGTTCTTATCGATACTTATATAGAGCCAAATAGATTCTGGTCACAGTTAACGCTAGTTCGTATGTTGCGTTTCAAACCAACTAGACGTGCTTTGTTTATTGGATGCAGTCTACAAATGTTCCAGCAATTCGTTGGAATCAATACTGTAATGTACTATAGTGCTGAAATCTTGTCTATGGCTGGTATCGGTGGTATTGGCAGTAGTAAGAAGGAAGGAAACGTGAAAATTGCCTGGCTAACTGCTCTAGTTGCATTTACTAACTTTCTGTTTAGTTTGGGAGCTCCATGGATTGTTGGTCGTTTTAAAAGACGTCTTGTATTTTATTGTAGTTTAACAGGTGTGTTTGTAAGCCTGGTTATTTTGGCTGTTAGTTTCCAGTTGATTGCATCGTATTCTGCACAGGTATCGGTTATCGAAGCAATTCCCTTGGAAACCACCTATGCTTCGTGTCTAAATGCGTAAGTGATATTCCTTAATTTGTAATTGTAATGAATCATGTTGAAAATGTGTCTCAGGGTAAATATTCCTTCTGTTGAATGTTCAAAACAGATTCGAACACTTGCATCATTCGAGTTCGAATTCTACATATATTTGTATTATTAGGCCACGGGAGGGATAATGCCTGCACGAACTTCTTTTGAATGCATAGTTTAGGTTTAATAGTTCGAATGCCTATCGCCTCAGCTGTGTGCAGTAGACGAATACGAAGTCTATTAGAAAGATTCGGAGGGATACGATGAATTACTTTGAAGGCTTTCGTTTTATCGACTACATGACCACATGTAACATAAGTGTCAAAATATATTCAACAATGAGACATCACTGTAAGTCAAATGAGTCCCCGAAAACATCAGTGTCATAATAGGTTAGTCGTGTGCTGAAAGTATATAAAACAGTGTAAAAAAGTTTACGCATCGATTCCTAAAGTTTGTAATCACATTCATTTCAGTGGTTGCATCATATATGAATGACGTTTCTTCATAGATTATTTCTTCTACTGCGATAAGTTCGATATTATGAGGAGAATTTTTGTATATTGGGGAATTTTCGATTTCATAGTAAATGTATTTACTTTATTAAGGTGATGGCGTCAGAGACGGAACCTGACTTTGCACAGAAGTTCAGCAGTTCAAGTTACCACACTCTACTTAGCACACATAGGCAGAGAAAAGAGAGGAAAAAAGGGATTAAAAAGTACTGTAATTAGCGAAAATCTTAAGGAGAAAGGATAGTAGCATGGAATAATATTAGGGTTCAGTGGATATGGGAGATATATACCAGTGAGAGCAGTTTTGAGCCAATATTCTCCAGATATTAGTTCGTAACATCCCGAAGACCCCAACCAGGAAGCCTATACCTCCATGCATGGCTCAAACCAACAGTCAAAAGCTTCAGGATTTTATGCCTGGTTTTAGTTTGACTACCCTTAACTCTCTTCCAGTCTGACTGGATGTCAGCCAACCTCTCCTGTTGAGGATGACGACGGCTTGGTTTGTGCAACACGTGCTCCTGCCATCTTAGTTTATTTAGCTCCACAAACTCATCGACAGGCTTACTCTCCTCACCTAGTATTGTACTCTTAACTTCAGTATTGCTCACCATATTATATTATATCTTTAGTAAAGACAATTGACCTTTTCAAATCTTCTACTTTCAATGACCATTTGTCACAATCAAAAAGGAGGACAGAAATTGTTTATACTACTCTTAACAACCACTGTCGGTCACATATAAACGTATTCTGTATTCCCGATAGATTTATTAATCAATACGAGTCACCTTATATATTCAGATTATTGTTTTCTCACACTTCTCTTGCTTGTAAATTTTTATGTAGAAAAACATGTGATATGTGTATTCAACAGAAAAGCTGTGGATTTTGTTATGAAACGTATTTATCCGGTCAGACAAAAGTTCCAGTGAATGGTTCTTGTCTTCCGTCACCTAAAGAATTTTCCCCATTTTCTACTTATGGCCGATGTTCTGAGAAGGTAAGTAAAGTGAAATTTTGTCAACATTATGTTATTGATAAATTCCAAGGTTAGTTTTGTAAGCATTATGTGTTCACATATTAGACCTCGTATGACAGGAAAGCTTATTAATCTTTCGACTCGGGGGGTAAACCATATTTGAGGTACGATTTAACACAATAATCCGTAATGCTGGCTATCACAAAGGGTCAACTGTATGTGCACAAATATGCGTATTAATTTCAAGCTGTAAACCGATTAGCATTTAAAGTTTCTTCATGTGCTAAAACTGTACATGAACTTCAGCCTGCTTTCCTGCAACGCAGGATAACGTTTCAGACTCATACAGCGAAAAAAACCAAACACCTTTCCGAACTCAGCTTAATGATTGGGATAATCATTCTTGATTCATTCTCAAGATAGGCGATTGGAGGGGATGCTATATGAAACAGTCTAGTCGGTATACATCCACCCTGAAGATTTGGCCGACGTAGGACCCCAAACTTCTTCAAAAATTTAAGTTGTTGTAAATGACATCAGAGAAAGAGAGCGGCATGGTTTGACGCACTATTCTCAGAAATATTTTAACATGTTACTCCTACAGTCTCTGAGTGAAATGATAGATGTTTAACCTCGTATATGCGAGTCAGAGATGACTGTCTCTTGCTTATTCAATCACTTATTGACCCGGTCTTCAAGAAAGAAGAGAAATTCTCTTGCTACAACCTAAAGCCTTAAGAGCACGGATTTATGACCTTACTATACACACAGTTATTTGGAATCTAACCACCACTAGAGAACAAAAGGCTGGAGGAATTCAGGCTGGTTGTTGACGCAGTAGTGAATATGTCCTGCTGTATTTCTTTTATTTCAGTGTTTTTGATTGAAGAAAGTAATCTGATATGTTCCTGTTTTCACCGAAGACGCTAAAATTGTAAAATTCGTGGTTTTCTTTTTGTTCATATGATGAGCTTTCCCCTGAAGCTTCTACATCGAATGATGTTGGTTAAAAGTGTTCGATATGTTGATCTCTGTTTAACTTTAGAATAGATGTGCGTATGAAGTTCTACGCTCCAAGTTTGTCTTCCCAAGAATCGAATTATTCTCATGAGGAACGTTCGTCAGCTTAGAGTATGTGGACTACATACTTATATTGGGAAAACCCTCCGAAACATTCTAAACAAATTTAGTATGCATCTCGAAACCACCAAATAAAAACTGCAATATCAGGACTAGCTTGCATAAATGCGACTATATGAATTGTAGTGACTCAATATGTTGAGCATTTCAGTTACCTGGAAAGCCACTTTAACTCAGGTGGTTTGAGGGTCAAGAAATTCTTGGCACGTATACGGAAGCTTGTCTATAGCTCATTTGCAAGCATCGTACCCCTCAGCAGTGCTCTCTTTCTATTGTGTAGTTTCGAAATAGCACCGCTAGTCGAGAAGACCAACATAGCCCTCAGGTGTTAAATAGTCACTATCTTTGCATTATTGCATATGTCCGTGGAAATCAGCATTTGAGCGATGAAAAAAGTTACTTACTTCATCTTATCTTCTCTTGTATCACTTCAAGACTGTTGGTTATATTTATTTCTTCTTATTTGTACGTTCTACTTGATGCGCAGATAAGCTTTTGAAGCACTAAACTGCAATTTTTATGTTCCTTTACACCAGAATGGTTAAATTCTCGTTAGAGTACATTTTAAATTAGTATTTACTTCGATAAGGTTACACATGGTTAGTTCTACCACATACTGATTTATTGCATACTTGCAGACCATAATATAGAGCCTACCATATGAAATGTACTCTCAACAACTATAATTTCGTTATCTTTCATATCATACTTTAGAATATCCTTGGCATATCAGTACACTTAATGAAATAACCAACAGTCACAATCCTTATGTACCTACAGGCAAAGTAAATATCCCTATATAATACATGCAGTTAACTCCTTCCTGATGAATGACTGCATTGATTACCTTTTATGCCATGACCATCCAAATCCAGTGGTTAAAAAAACTGAATTTTAACGAAATTTTTCTACTTATGAAACCTTAATATAAACTAAAACCATAGAACAGTGTATGTATAAGCTTACACACACGTTTCTGATGCATAGTCTAATAAAAGCTCCTATAAGTAACTTGGTGCGACCGAGGGTGGGCAAACTTTGATCTTCATCTCGGAATGCTCTCATGTAGCCGTGTGTTCATAGCATCCCTCTGGAAATTAAGTCCGATTCACTGCATTCACGCTCTTGGAGTATTCCTCATAGAAGTGAAAGGGCGAATATGAAAGTCTGATGCCTGCAACCGAATTGGTGGGGTTGCAAGCCAACATAGGGAAGCTGGAAAAACCTGATTCCATATCTGTGGTGTAAAGGGGCTTCAAAACCCGATTGGATTGAATGGCATACAGACCTGTCTTGGTCATCAGAAATCACGGGTTTGTAGCTCCATTACCTTACCAGATCAAAAGCCCTGGGGGTGACTTTTATCCAAACCCTCACACAAACAGAGTTTTTGTGTTTTAATAAATACTATTAAGTTTAAAAAAACCTTCATTGTGTATTAATTTGACTTTCAATGTAGTGGTAATAATATACTAAGATTTATTTTCATTTATTTTTATCATTCTCTGTAGTCTATTGAAAAAGAACATGTTAATTGGGCATTCGATCACTGCCCTAATCCATATGGTTGGATGACACTCTTCGGTCTAATACTGTATCTCGCTTCATTTGCTCCTGGCATGTCACCATTACCGTGGACTATAAACGCTGAGATTACCCGTCTTGGGCTCGTAGCACAGGTGTGGCTACTGCAACAGCATTCAATTGGATTGCTAATTTGATCGTCAGTTTTACATTCCTTTCTCTCACTAGTTCTATCACTCGACAAGGTACTTATCTATCTTTCTGTAGAAAGATTAATATTTATACGAATCGGTTGCATGATTTTTTACTAGAGTAGATTTCGGATTCTAACTAAGTTCACTAAGCTGTTCATCTGATTAGGGTCAATAATTCTACACGTAGCTAAACTTCTGCGGTCTTATCATGTGACTGACTCCAATTTACTGGTCTCATTTAATTTAGTTGACCTCACGGTTATTGCAAAAAATATTTTGTAGATTGCATTATCTGTCTAAGTGGGTCATTAGAGTCCTTTAACCTAGAGAGCTTGTTTCTGGTTAGGTTTGTAGCAAAGGTGTGGTAGAGGCATATAGATAACACTCACAGTATTAAGAACAAGCCATATGTCTAGTTTGTTCACACATATAAACTTAGTAGTAGTGGGAATACAACTTATTCTCATTGTTCGATTTCTGAACTAAACATTAGTTTAGTTAGAAATGTAAAATGAAAAGAACAGGAGAAGTTAAATTATGCACTAGAATTTATAAAAAGCCAACTCACTATAATTGATATTAGATTTTAAGTCATCTCATCCGATTATCCACAAAGGTAGGTTTAGTCAAGTGTCTAACAAATCGACCAAAAGCTCTAAGCTCTGTATTAGAAAACCTAAGTAAGGGAATGAAACAGATAGAAGAAGCATTGGTGCTAAACAACCATTCCATAAAATTCATCAGGAAGATCCAAAAAGCGCACGATAATAGAAAAACAGAAGCGAAACTACTGACGGTAACATAAATAAGAAAAAATTTAAGGCATTTACCACATACGAAAGCGATATCTGCAACTATATGTAGAATTTTTACTAAAGCAGGAATAGATAAACATCCTAACGAAGAACACTGAAAAGAACACTCGTCACTTCATAATACTCACAGAAATTTAAAAAAATAAGCGAAATTGTGACATACTGGCCGTTGACTGTATTCTTGCCACACTTGAAAGTGTCGCAAACCTCTGAGTCCTCCACTTCAAGGAATTGTGGTGCGCCAGCAGATACTAATCTAACATCTTTGGGCACCAGACCACATTCTGACTGCCCCTCTTCTGTTTTTCATCCACTTGTAGAGGTAGCAAACAGTAAAGGCTATGGAAGCTGTGGCGAAAATGTTTCTAACCCTGACGTAAATCTAGGATCCATGTTTTCATATTATTGCAAACAATAGTAAAATTATTTTCAACTTTTTTTTAACAAGTACTCCATCTAATTGTAACAATATCAGGTTTTTGTGTGTTGCATAGGTTTCTCCGAAAAAAAGGTTTTACATTACTATTATTACTATGTATGTTCAATCGATTTTTTAGGTGCTTACTTCTTGTATGCCGGTGTCTCTGTGCTGGCAATTATATTTGTCTGGAGATTTGTACCGGAACATGGTAATAAGTCTCTTGAAGAAATTGAAATCACCTTGGGACGCTCTTAGATCTTCTATATAATTGATTGTGGATTGATTTGATAATGGATACTTTTAGAATTGACTTGTGTTTTTTGTCATCCATATCCTGTGCACAGATTTTTTTTTGTTTTCTTTCAACGGAGATCATGAAATAAATTCTTTCATATTTTCATACTTTTTGATTTTTTTTATTTGTCAGTAAGCAGTGACAGTAAAAGTAGACACCTAGAAGATTAATGATCAGTTATTTTATGTCACAGATAAATAAAAATTGCTTGAAATTTCGAAGTTTTCGCACTACTGCATCTTTTTGTTGTTGATAGGCTTTTTTTTTCTCTCAGCATATTCACCTATATATATATATATATAATTCAGTGTTAACTTAAATTTCCCTATGATTATGGTCACGGGTAGGACAGACGTTCCATTCCGCTTGAGATAATTAGCAGCTTACACGTATGCTTCCGCTAAGCGCTTTAAAGTGTAAAGAATTGTGTATTGTATCTATTATTCTTGAGGACATCAACACATGGGTACTTTGTAAATCTCATTAGTTAGAACTCAATACTATTTAATTGTTTCTAAATTGCGTAATTTAACTAGTCAGCTTGAGTCTACACTGCCCCGATGAAATTAAACCTTAGGACTAGTGGAAATTCGTTGTAATATAAACTAAATTATCTTTATATTCTGAATGGTTTTTTCAAAGAGATCCGCACGTTATATAGCAAATATTTGAATAAAACAAAAGCAACAATTTGCACAGAAAGAGATGGTCCGATCAGTTGTTTACGACTTAAGAAATTAATCGGGCAGGATAGTTAACAGAAGGTTGAATACTATACTAGGTGGAACCTATCTTGCAGCCAAGTTGGCTTACTTTCATCTAACAACATACTCTTTGTTGCTATTCAAAGTCGACAGATATTCTTCATGTGTTAGCTCTAATTGTGCATGCCTGCGGTAGTAGTTACACTGGGAGAACAGAAACAAGGGCACACGCTGGATTCTGTAAACATATACTTGCTCCCAACGTCTAACGAAGACGCTGAACAATTTAAATCTTCAATACTTCATTGTTATTATCAGTACCAAAGAGCGCAAGGCAGACAACGATAAATGTTATCAAAAGACAACCTAATGAATTGTTGAACAACAACAAACATAATACTGATTCGTCCAGACAAAGGATCAGGTATTGTTATTCTTAATCGTGATGACTATGTAAATAAATTATGTACCATCCTGAGTGATGAAGAAAAATTTCAAAAATCACTTGACCAAAAAGATAAGACGGAGAATATTGAGAAGGAATTATCAAAAACTTTGACGAAATTGAAGCAAGAATGCATTATTACTCCATATATGTATGAACAAATTAAACCATCTGGTTCAACCATCCTCATTTATATGGTCTTCCAAAGGTGCACAAAGATTATGTCCCTCTGCGATCTGTACTGGATATGCTGAATTCAACGTATCACTCTACCGCTAAATGGCTTGCGGAGATTCTGGAACCAGTTAGATTGAATCTGTGTAAACATAATTTTTCTGACACTTTTGACTTTGTCAGTTGCGTTGAAGAAACTAATTCGACCGGTAAGCATATGATTTCGTTGGATGTTTGTTCATTATTCACAAATATATCACTAGTAGACACTATCTGCTATCTATGCGAGTATACTGATTTAAATAGCATGAACATTGGCTTACCAACTGAATATCTTAAAGAACTATTATTGAGATGCACACTGAATGTGCAATGTAGATTTAATGAAGTAATCTACAATCAAAGAGATGGAGTCGCCATGGGGTCTCCTTTAGGACCGCTCTTAGCGGATGTCTTCATGGCAAGCTTAGTAAACGGCCCATTAAATGAAACCGTCGAGAGTTTGTTTATGTATAAAAGATATATAGATGATACCTTCATTGTCTGTGGGGAAACTCTTCAACTGCCGAACTGCTTGGAATATTTAATGGTTCTCATCCATCTTTGCTTTTCACGATCGAAGAATAGTCGAATTCCTCATTTCACTTCCTTCACGTTAAGCTAGATAGAAGAGCGAATAGGACGCTGTTAAGGTCGATCTACCGAAAGCCAACATTCACTGGGCAGTACACTAACTTCAACAGTTAGGTACCTTTAGGGAGAAAGAGAAATCTTACTCATTCCTTATGCTCCAGGATTCGTAAAATCTGCTCTATAGAGACAATCGGTAGAGAACTAGATAACCTTCGGTCAAATCTCCTTAACAATGGATATCTTACAAGGTTCATTGAACGTAACATCAAGAAAGAATCCGCCCCGAGACAAGTCACAGTACCAAAGAAAAAACTGTTTATGAGTCTTGCATTCATAGGTGACACCATTTCAGAATTGATTAACAATCGTTTATGTAAATGTATTAAACGCACTTTTCCTGCAGCTGACCTGCAACTAGTTTTTACCAGCCGAAATATGATTAGACAATGCGTCAAGGATAGATTACCGCTTTTGTCCACATCTATGTGCATTTACTCTTTTACCTGCTCCTGTGGAGCTGATTATATTGGATGTTGTAAGGGTAATCTCCGAAAACGTGTAGCTGAACACTATCCGGTTTGGTTAATGAAAGGCGAACGTAGAACTGCGAAGTCGTCTATTTGTGATCACCTGTTAGAGTCTGGTCATTCAGCCCCGCATGATTCCTATTTCAAAGTTATCTACATGGCAAAATCGAATCGATCCAAAAGTTTACGTTTTCTTCACTTATACATAGCCGAAGCTTTAGCTATACATGAGTAGAAACCTAAATTATGTGTTCAAAAACGTTTTGTCAAACCCCTTTCTTTACCTTGGTCATAGTAATGTTCTTTCTAGCTTTTATTTTATTTCACCACTTGAATTCATTCAAAAAAAAAAAACATCTTTATTCTTATTGTAATCGTACTCCTAATTTTTTAAAATTTTTAGACAACGCTTAACATTAAAAAATGTTTTTGATATCAATTCACTTATTAAACAATCTTTAATAATTCTGTAATTCATCCACTTCGACTTTACCCCTTATAACATTTTAATTATCGTTATTCTTATCACTTATATATGTATATTGACTGAGCAATTGTTTAGTGCCACAAAAAACTTTCTCTGTAATATAAATACGACTGTACAGCTTGAAAATGAAATCGTTGAAAAGAAATTTCTTCACTGAACACAAAACCTGTGTTTTTACTTATGAATATACTAAGAAGCCTACGTTTGTATAGAATAGATATTTTCAACAGCACCGTGCTTCCACGCAGCCAGCCTACGAGTAACATATTCTTCCAAGAAACTATTCGCCCATCAAATGAAAGGTAAGCTGTCGTACTAGGCTATATTAGCAGGCATATACTAGTTCCCCTACTCCTGTGGAGTTGGTTACATTGGTCGTATCATACGTCTGCTTCTAAAACGTCCTCGCGAACACTATCCAACCTGGCTAGTAAAGGGAGAAGCAAGTGTCTATATAGCTTGGTAACAGAACGTCTGATGAACTCAGGACACTCAGCTCCATTTGCAAAGTCATATACAGGATCCCATCACATCTATCAAAAAGAATTATATCAAGATATCTGACCATATCCGGACTTCCTGTTTATTACGTTTCTAATCCCTATTTGTAAACTTATTATTCGTTATAATTTGACCCAATTATGGAACTTTCTCACCTCTTTACTATACGTACACTAATGTACAGTCTGGTTGATAATTTTCTCGAAACGGTATTTTTAGATTTTCCTATGATAATTTTTTGTTTCTTTTTGGTGTTTAAATCCATCCTGTAGGAGAATGAAACACTTGCCCCAATAAAGTCTTTTATTGTCGTATATTAATTAAATGCAAGTGATTTACAAGAAGCTTAAATAATTTCGGTATACAAACGCAGGTTTTCTTTTAAATATTTGACCAGGCTGTGGAAATTTCTACCTGAAAGGATGTGAGTATCTAATTTCTTTTGATTAACTAGAAAAAGGTAACGCCTAAGGTTAACAGTTAAGACTTTGAAGTTGATAAGCACTGCTGTCAAGTAAAATATCCTTAATTAACGTTGATTGAAGACTGAGTAAATCTGAATCCAAATGAAACTTATTTCTTATAATGAACTGAAAATCAGATTCCTATAAACGCTTAGTATTCTATAGTCTAACTAAATAATGTACAGTAATCTGATATGCTTCTACGCTTCCTGCATAAAATGACATCTATAGTACATCTGTGCTTAAGTATGTCATACAGAAAAGCTTATTCCTGACTACTATCATCCAAACAAAATATCAGGAAATCTAGCTTTAACTTCTAATCTGATGCCCTGCTGCTGTCAAGCCAGGTACATCAGTCGTTCAACGTGCATCCTGTCTAACAGGATTCAACAACACTAGCCAGCAGGTTGCGAAAAGGCAATAGTGGTACTATAAGGAGTGCGATATAATTGAACACTAATCATTCCATCTCAACAAACGCCTCATGCTTCGAAGTAATCTACAGAGTCAAGAATAACCTATCAAAGGCAATACGGTTTCGTCTTCTTTGTTTCTCTGAAGCTTTAACCATTCACATAGAAAAACTGAAGCTGTACATACAAAAGAGAATTACTCAACCACTTCTACTATCATGGTAACAACTTTGTTGATTTCTGATGAGTTAATTTTGTTTGTTTAACTGTTTCTTTAATTGCTTACAATTTTTGTATTCATTTAGAACTGTTAAGTATTTTTGTATTTTCTACTTTGTTCATATGTGTATCCCGAGTACAACTCAATCATCAGACTATTCATGTTATTACGTAACTCTTTTTGACAACTGTTTGTGACAACTCACCACCTTTGTTACTACCTAGTTTTATTAACACCAATTTTCTTGTCTGTTTTCGTGTTATGTAACTCCACTCAAGACTGACTAATTCTCACTACCCCCTTTAGTTAAAATAATCATAACCAGTTGTATTTTGTTTGACAAACTTAATATACACATACACACAAAATAACCCATATATATTTGAGAT